ACAACGAAAAAGTAAAGTGAATATAGAGGATAATGTATGAAGAAACATGGCCTGATAGTCTAACACACCCCCTTCACGAAGAATAGTGTATTGTTCTTTGTGAGAGAAGAAAAGGTAAAAGAAATTGACCTGGGTGAGGGTTAAAGGTTGAACCTGCAAAACAATAGCCATGCTGTGGGCGTAACTATTGTTCTGTAACTGTCCTAAATTCCACTAAGCTAATGCTGAAACTCGAGTGTTATAGAGCAGCCGTCCCTATAATTTGGATGAAATGTGTTCGACTACCCCTATATATATAGGTTACATTGAGAATGTACCAGATATATGCGTATAACTTGTGCAAATTGAGTTTTGGAAGAAGAAGACTAAGGGTCTAAACTTTATAAGAAAAAACTTTAGGTATAGAAGAGTAGGAGTCTTTAATTTAGGTAAGAAAAGTTTAAGAAATAGTCGAGAAATAGATTAGTAAAAGTAGCGTTTTCCTAGTAGACGAATAGGTTTTTAGGAGTTTTATGCTATATAAACTAAACTTTGTGAGTTCTTTCTTCTAGTTTTAGAAGAGAGTTGTTTATCAATTTGGAGTAGTTTGGTTTAGGATTAGGCTGGAAATTGTTTAGTGATCCTTAGTGCTGGTTGGAGATTTAGCTGTTTAATAAACAACTGGTGTCTTCCTTTTGGTAGGGGTTTTATGAGTCTATCTGAGACGGTTTCCGCTGATGGGGTCTATTGAATATGGATGGATTGTTTCTGAACTTCTTGTCTAACCTAATGGTAGTAGATATCTACGTGTCTGAGTTTTGTTGTAAGCTTTAGAGAAGCTTCTTGAAGAAGGCGGATTGTCTGTTGATTGTCGTATTGTATAGCTGTTTTGTAGCCTGTGTCGAAGCTAATTTCTTGAAGGAATCTATCCTACTATAGAGTTTCTTTTGCTGTGTGTGAGAGGGATAGTAGTTCTGCTTCCGTGCTGGATGTTGTGACTATCTTCTGTTTACTAGCTTTCTAGTTAATTAGTCCTTGGAATAGCTAAAAGATAGATCCTTAAAAGCTCTTTCTAGATTTAGGGTCTGTGGTAAAGGAAGCGTCTGTGCTGTAAAGAAAGATATCTTTTTATGCTAGAGAGAATCCGTTGTAAAGAATTGAGAGATCTTTTATATAAAAAAGATATTAGAGAACTCTATTTACTAGTTCTTAATATCTTTAAGAAGGATTGCGGAGATATTCTAAGAGTTTTAAGGTAGCGAAAGAGATGTCTGGTCTTATAATAACTACTGTAAAGTTAATTAACCTAATTTTCTACTAGTAGAAATAGATTTCTTGAGCTATTGCTTAGCTAGAAGACTTAGTAATTTCTTCTAGAGGAAGTAGAGTTTCTAGTAGCCTTGAATTCTCCTAGAGGTTGAATTTGTTGGAGAGTTTTTTAATGTAGGAGTCCTAGTAGAGCTAGAGCTTTCTTTATTCTCTGTCTCTTACTACTCGGATTATAAGGAACTAGTTAATTTCTCTAAGAGATCTGATTTTAAAAGTATTTAATAGCTTCTGTTAAAAGAGATCCGCGTATCCTGTATGCTTTTTGTAATAGATAACTATAATATTATCTATAAAGAAGAAAATAGTAATTTTACTATTTGTGAAGATATAGTTTGCTCCTAGGACTTCTTCTAGTTCTAGTTTAAGAAGTTCTTTTAAAAGAAACTTGTACTAGAGAGCTAGTAATTGTTTAAGACCGTATAAAGCCTTATAGAGAAGAAGGTAGAACTGAAAGTTCTTTGTGGCTGGATATCCTTCTAGTAGAATATAGTAGATATCTTCGTCTACGTCGCTGTTAATAAATGTATTAATAGTATTAAATTGTCTTGTTTCTAGGTTATAGGCAGCTGTTATTGCTATAAGAGCTCTGAAGGTTTTTACTATAAGTATTGCTGTATAAGTATCTTATTCTGTGGATTGTAAATCTCCTCTAACGTAGAGTCTTGCTTTGAATTTGAGAAGATTTCCTTTAGTGTCGAATTTGTACTTGAAAACCTATGTGAGAGGTACTGGAAGCTTATTAGCTTTTTCTGCCTATTGGATTAGAACTTCTTTCTAGGTATTTTTTGCTTGAAGAGTCTTGATTTCTGTACGTAAAGCTTGTTGGAATTCCTTTGAGAAGGAATGCTGAAGTATTTGTTTATAGTTTGTTGGTTCTGGAGGAAGAGTATCTCTGTAGAGATTTAATTTTGGGTTTAGTAAAGAGAAGGAGCTGAGAAAGGAGTTGTAGAAGCTTGAGTTCTTGTTGGTATCCTTGAGTGCCTGATTATATTAACTTCTTCTTATTCTTTTTGAAGATTCTGAAAGAATGTTGCTTGGGTTAAGCTCGCTTAAAATTTCGGTAGCTCTTAGAGCTATATTCCTTTTCTTCTTTTAAGAGGTTTGCTGAGTTTGCGTTGGTTATTATACTTGTATATTGCTGAGAGTGCTTGAAGTGTTTATTGAAGATGCTTCTGATGGAGCTGAAGGAGAAGGTTCTCTTGTAGAATCTCTTGTTTCTCTTGTAAGAGATGGAGAGGGAAGATGAGTTCTTTCCTATAGTTTCTCTTGTATTGGTTGTAGATTCTATTAGAGCTGAATATCTTCTTCTTCTTCTAGTTCTTCTGGAAGTTCTAAAGGAGAAGGGATTGAAAGAGTTTTAATAGTTATTAGCTATTCTAGTAGTTATGCTAGATCTAGTTCTTCTAGATTGTAAAATTCTTCTTTATTGAAGAGAAGGTCTCTGGTTTGGATAACCTTTCTTTAGCTTAGAATCTAGATGCGAAATATATTAGTTGAGGAGTATCCTAGTAGAAAACCAATGTGTGCTCTTTGTTTAAGCTTGTTTAATCTAGATATATCTTTTCTTAGTGTATAGGCTTTGTAGCTAAATATTCTGAGGTGAGAGAGATCTGGTTTGATTCCGGTTGCTGCTTGAAAAGGTATCTTCTACTAATTTTATCTTCTTGGAGTTCTGTTGTGGATATATCCTGCTGCCTTGATAATTTCTAGCTAAAGGGAAGCTGGGAGATTTGCTCCTATTCGTATAGTTCTTGCTTTATTAAGAAGAGTTCTTCCTAATCTTTCTGCATGACTATTTTGTTCTAGAGTGTAGGGAGTAGAGAATTCGATTGAGATGCCTTGATTTTTAAGATCCTTTTGAAAGTCTTAAGTGAGAGATTTTTCTCTATCTGTTCTGAAGAAAATAACTTATTTCTTGTATCTTGTTTTGATGAATTAGAGAGTATTATTAATATACTGGATTAAGTTTATCTTGTTTTAGTGCGTGTAGATAAAAGTGAATCTAGTAGAGATGTAGGCGAGGTGGGAAATATACTGGTGTTTGTTGAAACTAGGTTTGATTTGAATTAAATTAAATGAGATCCTGTAGAAAGGTTCTTGTGAAGATTCTTCCTTGTTTAAAGATCTTGAAATGACTTTATAGATCTTTAATACTGCGTAAGTTTCGCATTAGTGAGTCTTAGGAGCTAAGTCTTCTATAGAAATAGTTACTCCTTGTGTTGAGGATTCGAGGTAATTAATAGCTTCTCTATTAGTATGAGTAAGTGTTTTATGCTACGTATTTGCGGAAGCTTTACGTGTGAAGAAGGAGTGTTCTTGCTGAGAAGACTAAAGGGAAGAGTTGTCTTCTAGTAGATACTAATTATATTTGAAAGAGATAGTGTAAAGGGGTTTCTATTCTTTATATAGAATTATTTTTTCGGAGTCCTATTGAAATCCCTTTTCTTAAGCTTGTTTGAAAGAGATAATGTTAGTAAGATATCCTAGAATATAGG